GAGATCTTAAAGTGTCCTTGTATGTTAACCTTTTCATTACATGTATTATTCTAGTACTCCTTCTCCGAACCCTTTTCAACAATTTCATCCTTTCTAAAATAAGGAGTCGAGACAAGACAATAATCTAACTGTGCCTAACCAGTGAATAAAGTTATAATCTCTTTAGACTTGTATTCAATATTTCTGTAATCACAACTGAAAATTCTATTTGTCTTACCACTAACAACAGTTCACTGCTTGGATGGCTTAAGTGACTGATCAACCAGAACATCAAGATACTTTTCTTCCACAACACTGTTAAGGTTATTCCAATCAAAATTATACTTACAATTCAAATTATGACAACCAACATGCATTACCTTACATTTATCATAATTAAAAGTCATCAGGCATTTGTTTGGCAAACTCATTAAATGATCTAAATCATTTTGTCAAGTAGTAGCATCTTCCTCACAGCTAGCAGCACCCAATATCTTAATAGTCATCAGAAAATTTAAGTAACTTATTGACCATTTCTTCATCTATATCATTGATTTTAAACTAAGTGAGAAAAGGTTCTAGAACTGAGCCCTGAAGCACCTACCTCACTTGGAATATTAACCTTTTACGTATAGGTCAGCCATTTTTACACAAGCATAAAAATCATGACACTTTACATATTAGAAATTTAAATATATTAAGTGTATCTTCACAACATTTGGCAAACTTTTTGTGAACATTACAAGTCTATCATACACAAAAAATCAGAGCTTTTCATAAGGTATTTATAGTAAAAATTTGTCTGTAAATTTCCAAAACATTTATTATAATTTAACTGGGTTTTCTAACTGAGATAGTTAAGTTGAAAAAATAATTGTTAAATGCTACGAGCATCAACTTTGCTTTACCAGCTTCTGCCCAATCAAGTCCTCAAGTCTCATGTCTGTTGCCACCAATTTCGAAATGACCATTTCAAGCTTAAAATAAAAAAACAAGCTCTTCCTGTTGGGTTATAAACATGTGGTATTGAATACTGTTTTGAAAGTTAAGGATAGATGGGCAATGCTTCTGTTATGGGTTGAGAAAAGTTATTGAGATCTCACTAAATAGAGAAGTTAAAGATACTGAAACTGTACACTTGACCTTGGAATTGTTTACAGATTGTCCTCATAAGTCAGATAGTGTTACTCTGAAGTTATACAAACTAAAAGAAAATAAAGATGTGTCACAACACAGAAGTCCAGATTAAGATTAAAACACATTTTTTTTAAAATAAAAATATAAAAAGTTGATGTTAATTTCATAAAAATACAACGATAACAAAGTTGTTTAATAATATTTTGAATGTAACTCTATTTAACCACATAAACATTCTCACAGGTCAAAACCTGATCCGTGTTTAAAGGGTTAATCCAGTTTGATTGAATTATTTATAACAACCCTCTGCTTTTTTTTCCCCCATCCAATGAATCAACTTTATTCCCCACACCTAAAAGGATCTTTTATTTTTAACAAGTTTTTATGTGGCACCTTTGTGATAAACCAGATCCACTCACTTACCCTGATATACCTACATAAGGAAGAACTTCTTCACAGAATGCCAAAAGACTGTACAAAACATCTTTTATTAGACTCCCAAAAACTTTTCCCACCACTGAAATAAAACTAATTTACCCTCCCTGAAAGAGAGAAGTAACATTAGCCAACTTCCAATCATATAACACCTGCCACTATTAACAGATGTACGAAAAATAGTAACAAGTGGCTTACGTATCCAGTCCTTAACCTTCTTCAAAATCCTTGCGCAAATACTGTCTGGTCCTGAAGCTTTATCGTTCTTTAAACTTCTTAATTTTTCTAAAGTTCAGAATGAATGTGATCATCTTGTTTGGTATTGCAGTGTAATGGTAAATACAAAAGAATACATAAAAAGTGGGAGTGTGAAAAGAACTGGAAATACAAGTCATAGAAATGAAACATTCAGTTATTTCACTTCTAGTTTCCACATCAGACACAAATATTTTTTTTTTCTTCTTGTTTTTTTTTACATGAAATATCAAAAGTTGAACATTTTTCAATGACTCAAGTTTTATTGAAATTCCTTCAGTTTACAAGAATGCATTCAAGGACCCGTATGAACCCTGGAGGAAGATACTTTTACACCCACAACAACTAATGACCCACTATATCAACTAATGCCACACATATTATTGCCCACATTATGATTTTTTTATTTTATTTATAACTCAGGGCTACAGATGAACTCTATGTTTTAATTACATCATAAGAAATTCTAACATCAGGCATTTTCAACGTGGTAGCTGGAAACTAAGGTACAGCAACTAAGCTTATCCTTGTATCTATGCCATTAAATCTCACACCAATATATATCTAGTTATTGTCTAAATCTCATCTTCCCAAATCCCTGATTGTACTATCTATCCCTTTACTTTATTCCCAATTTTTCAAACATTTTCATCACTACGGAACTTTAGACTAATGAATATATTTAGACCTTCCTCAAACATCCTATGATCTAACTTACTTAAGTGGAACCCATCTCTAGCATATAATTCACCCTTTCCCTGAAAACTATCCCACAAGTCCAACCTCGTTGCTCTAAGCAAGTCCCTAATAATCTTTTATCTTGCTAAGTAATTCATTCTTGCATCTAACTCGAGAGAACACCTCCAAAAGAGCCAGACTTATCTATCTTTTATCCCTAAAGTTCTCTATATGTTTCAATCAGCTCTTCTGATTACAGTTTCTAGCATCAAATGTTCCTACATATACTACAAAAATTAAATGTTCCTTGCAACCAAACTGTTAATAGATTCTGTAATGTCCTGCATTTTAGCATCTGGCAAGCAAAATCTGGTTCTACTCTTCTTGTGCTATCTACTACAGATAACTATCAGTATACTTAATGAGATATCCCCCCCCACCATTATGTAAGCCTGCCGATCGTGTTATTCCTCTATGTAAGCAGCAAAAGGTTTAAATCTATTAGAAACTGCTTACCTGAACCTATCTATTGTTTGTAATTAAGCACAAAACTACACAATGGGCTATCTGTGCTCTGCCCACCACGGGTATCGAAACCCGGATTCTAGCATTGTAAGTCCGCAGACATACCGCTGTGCTACTGGGGGGCGAACCTATCTATATAGCCTTACTTTTATTTCTTTAATGCACCCTTGTAATCTAAGTACTCTTTCTTACCCTCCTCCTAAGCAGCCTTTACCCCAACTCTAATTTCCTGTCATACTTCCTTGATTTCTGCTTCTAAATTATTTTATCCTCTAACAGTGCAAGTTTTCTCCAAATCTATTTGTAAAAACTATGTACATTCTGTAAAAGTTTTGACCACATGGTAAGCTTTCTTGAAATCTCAAGGATACATCTTCCCTACCTTTGCTGGGAAGTGATCAATGCTATATGAAATGCATACAATTTTCTGGAAGAGATGACTAGAGTTAACAAGGTTAGTAATGCATGGAAACTTTTGGGCAAAATGATGCTTTTGTATGTAATATATTGACTTCATGCTTTCGTACCCTTATTGAGTAGTATTTCTTCAGATCATAGCCAGGTCTGCTTCTGAATAAGAACTCTGTACTGTTCTTTAGTACCATGCAGTCATCTATCTTTATTTTATTTTTAATAAATACTACTTTTCGCTTTTTTTTTTAACATTGTGCTTGGTCTCTTTCTTCAACTTTGCCCAAAATCCACTGCAAAATTTTCTGGTGTTCATACTGTTATCTTACCTGAAAGATAAATCAGTGCCTGAGGATACTCCATACCTTCTCAGTTTTAGCCATTGAAACTAAAACTTTAGTCTTGATGAAGTTAATCATTAATGTTTGGATATCTCATATCATTAGTATGGTTAATAGAAATAATTTCAGTACTATTGCAGTTTACTCTGAATTAAAAACTTAATTTTGAAATTTGTAACATTAAGTTATTTTGCTAACCTACCTCAAATTTTAATAGGTAACAACAGAGCTAATTTGAGGCTGTTGAAATAGTATTTTTTAACTTCAGACTCAGAGTAAACTGCAAAAGTAGTAGTACTAGACTCAAACAGTTATTGAGTCAATCATCACTTAATGGAATTTTTCTCTCCAAATGGTTCTTAACTTTTTGTAACTAGTAATCATATATTATGCACTGTTCGAGATTGAAATCATGAACGTCTTACTTATTTTGCAATTAGCACAATCTCATGCCCATAGTTACATGTTATTTTTAGGAAATGCAAATATTATAGTTCCTAAGACACGCAACACAATCTCACGATTATTCTTACTCCGAGTCCAACAGTCCAAGTTGTAACAATGTATGTAGTATAGAATGTAATTACTTAAATTAGTTGCTCGTATTTTTTCTCAACACAATTTCCGAATCAGTATTTAATAACTCAAACTTTTATGTTATTAGTAAAACAGAATGTTATAACTACTTTCAAATTTAAAACATTTAAATATTTCCAAGTTAGGCTTAACTCTCGGAAGGCTTTCAAACGCCGCGGTGTGATCTGGTAATAGTACGAGTTTACCGGTCATCGAACGACCGCGCATGATCCGTGACGTTCGTGTAGTGAGGCCATACGATTTAGGTTGTACTTGTATGCAAACATTCACAGAATATTTTCTGAGGTTTTATTTACTGAAATTTACATAGCTTTTTCCCCCGAGGAATGTAAACTATATAACTTGGTATTGTCGTGTTGGTAAAGTAAGTATTTCTTGTTAAATGGTATTAAAAACACAATTTAACATTAAGCCTAACTCTTGTCTACCAGTACCAACTAACGTGTACTACAATACTGGTACTATGTAATATATTCCCTACAGCTAAGGTTTCTCTGGGCACAAAGTAAATACTCTAAGTTCTTAATACAAGTTACAGTTCTGAACTCAGAGCTTTTAAGTGTCGTCCGTAGGTTAAGTCGCATAACCATAGATTCAGAAAATATTTGAAGTCTAAGCTCATACGAGATAAATTTAGCTTACATTGTTGTCCTTGTCTAATGCTTTCAATAATCTCTTCTTAACTTCAAATGGAGAATGCTGCATGTGGCGTACTTAAAAGCAGGTTCTACTGTTACTCAGTGTTAGTGTAAATGTATGCTATCTTCCCACTGCTCTATGAGCAATGTACCGCTCCAACCAGTATGGCGGACATATGATATAATGGAATTGTGGGATTGTCTTCAAGCAGCCGAAAGTGACGTTTTTTGTCGGAGTTTGTCGAAGATGACGCTTTTGTAGGCAGACTTGCGCAATCTTCCGAAAACTATATATATAGGAAGCGCGTTTCGTTGCCCTTGATGTAGAATGTTGAATAAAGGAGGGGGTATATTACGTTCTCTTTGGGAGTCGTTTAACACGCTGTTGTGTTGTGTGCTATTCGACCAGAAACCGTGCAAAAATGGATTTGACTGTGCCGTGTGTTCGAAAAGAAATTGAAACGATCTGTAACAGTATGGAAAGATCAATTGAATGAAATATTGACTATAAAAGTCGTTGTTATTTAACTTAACATTTCATAACATAAAAAACGTCAAGGATTATATATACTTTTGTCATTTTTATCAGTGCATTTATCGGTATATGCTTTAATATTTTCAATGTGAACAATCTTCTCTTGCCAATATTGTTACTCGATTAAGGAAAAGAGTATACTTAGAAGCCGTCTCCAGCCATTATTAATCTCAAAGTGGGTTCCTCGTCATCGAATTAGAAGCATTGTTCAAAGATCCCTCCGCCAAAATAAGAAATACTTATCAGTAAATATAGAATAGGCAGAAGAGAATAGAATACTATGATGCTGAAAGTATTTTCTTAGCTTTTAAACCTGGTGTCAGCTCCTTTCCGTTATCATGAAACTTAGTCAATTTGTAACAAAATCAGATTTATTATTGCACTCTTTGTGTACGAATATATATTTAGCCTTTGTTTCTTTCTCGTTATATTCATGATCATGCTAGGGGAATGAGTTACTACGCTCGTATCAAGTGATACTTGCTGTTTAAATTAATAATGCCTGGATAGTGGAGAAAAAACAACAACACACACCCCAAAACTAAGTAACTAAACAATCCACCTGCAAACAGCAGTGAGGTCAGTACGGAATATTGGACTCCTTCCCTTAATTAGAGGATTTTATTTCAGAATTCATCAGCCGATTTTCAGTTAACATAGAAATAATTTCTCAATTAAAGCATCTTTGCAAATCATTTCTTGACAATATATGTGAAATTACACCAACTGTTAGCTTTTATAAGCTTGATTTATAATAATACCGTAATTATGATACTTGAGTATACTATGTGGTGTGAAAGTGGAAACTGAATATACAATAAATGTTTTGTCTATTACCATTCTCCACATCCTTTGCCGAGCTTTCGTGTTTGATAATAAGTTGCATAAAGAATGTTTTACGAAATAAAACAATGTAACATCATATATGTGGTGTGGCTCTAATGTCGGTTCGTTTAGAAATGCCAGTTTCTCAAACTGACATCTTGGACAACAGCTTTGATGGAATGTTGGCTGATTTTATAACCCGTCTGTTGTACGTCACATTATAACGTGCCAGATGTAATAGTTTAAGATGTCCGAATTTAAGGTTTATAACTTTATCTATGACTAGCTAAACAGTAACCACTGAGGCTATAAGTGTTATTATCGGTTCATATATAATTAAGATAAACAAAAACAATACATTTTATTTTTCTGCTCAATATATATTAAAACTAGAGTAGTCATAGTAGGTTTGACTGTTGAAAGGAAAGGAGGCGACGTTTTAGCTTCTATAGTGAGTACTTTCTCCCCCCCCCCCCAAACAAGTAGTTGCAATTTACTAAAATTCTCAAACCTAAAATGTTTTTGAGTAATAATGAATTAAGCATCCAAAAGAATGCCCTCACTCCCAGAATTTTATTTTAAGCCCTAAAAATAAATAAATTTCAAGTCTTCGTTTCAATATTAAAGTAGGAGCAGTTATTAAATATTCAACTTAAAACTTTTTTTTCAAATATTCTGAAACTCCATAAAATGCGAAGTTATTGTTCTCAAGTGCAGTAAACGACGTTTCCAAACACTTTGCTACAAAATATTATTTATATGCACTGACTGTTCTCTGCGTTAAATGTTTTTATTTATGGGTGTTTTTTTTTAGCCATTTTTAACCCTTATATAGTAACCTAAATTAATTTACGTGTGTGAATAATATTATGGTATTGCGCCTACCTTATTATTCGACATTATACAGAGGATCAACTGTTTAATAATTAATTATAAACACCGCAAAGTCTTGAAATTAAATAGGCGAAACTGCAGCCCACAAAAGAGGGCGCAGCGAATCAAAGAATGTATTAGGCCTCTAAAGTCTCGGAATATATTTTCAATTTTATCTTTGGAGAAGATAAATTTGTAGCGTACCTTATTTTTAATTGCGAACTTTCGGCTCTCGTACCGGAACCTTCATCGTACTTGGTAATATGTATTCGTTTATTTGTTGAACACTTTTTAAAATCAGATGTCGTTAGGAAGAAAACAAAGAACTCTTACTCTCCAGTTAATAAATAATAACAATAACTTTATTTCAGCCAACGTTTCGCTGTTACGGCTTCATCAGCGTTACTAGTACAAGAACTGCTTGTCTGAGCAACAGTCCTAACAACAACTGGCATCTGGAATTAATCATGTAGAAATTACTGAAAACGAATTATGATAAGTACAGCATTAACAGTTAAAGGTAAATTAAAAATTCGGTCGTTATAGGTGTATAATAATATGAATATATAATACACTTTTTGTATTAAAGTATTAGAGATCAAACAATTACTTGAAGTTAATAAAAAATAAAAGGTATAATCATAGGAATTATATTAAAAATAAAATGTTCAGATTTCAAATGATACATTATAGAATTATTGGTCTTGATCAAAGCACAACAGAAAAAAAAAGTAAAGGTTTCGTTTTACGTTGATATCACGAAAAATACGTTTAATATCTTTGATAAGCAGTGTCCATACAGTACTGAGTGGGTGTTGTTCGTTCTTGTGGTCAATACCCACTGGTGATTGTTTTTTACCTAGATAACAATAGCTTCTTTGATTTTCCTTTGTTTTATGTTTTCTACTCTGTTGATTATTTTTGAAGTCTCATGTTTTCGTTTTCCTGAATGTGAGAGGCTATAACAGATATGGTTGTAGCACAGGTTTTTTTTTTTTTTGGTGCTGTTTGAATGTGACATGTAACGGGCGTTGTGTTTATTCAATGTATTGACATGTAAATAGCTGTAAACTTTGAAATTAAGTAACCATTAGATAGAGAAAGTTTGTTACTAACACAATTTATATTTTTTTAAGAATTTTTTTATGTAACAAATTTCCAATGTATTTAAAAGTTAGCTTTGTCGACAAAAGTAAAGCAAGCTTTCACGATTCAGTTACTAGACACAAGATTAGTGATTACCTCATGATCCAGTTACTAGACACAAGATTAGTGATTACCTCATGATC